GGAGGTAAAAGACTTGTACACTAAAAACTATAAATCACTGCAAGAAGAAATCAAAAAAGACACAAATAAGTGGAAAGATATCCTGTGTTCATGGATTGCAACACTTAATATAGTTGAGGTATCAAAACTCGTAGTAGGTGACAACATAAATAGACATTATGCTAAGTGAAATAAGCTAAGCATAAAAAGAAAAACATTACCTGATTTCACTCACATGAGATACTTACAATAGTCAAATTAGTGAATCAAAGAGTGGAATGGTGGTTGCCAGGGGCTGGGGGAGAGGGAAATGAGGAGTTGTTCAATGGGTATAAAGTTTCAGTAAAGCAAGATGAATAAACTCTAGAGATCTGCTGTACTACAATGTACCTATAGTCAACAATAGGGGCACCTGGCTGGCTCAGTCCGTGGAGCATGTGACTCTTGATCTCGGGGTTGTATGTTCAAGCCCCACATTGGGTGTAGAGATTACTTAAAAATAAAATCTTAAAAAAAAAACAAACAAACCAATATATTGTTAAATGTTCTTCCACATTAATAGTAAACCAAAGATAATAATAAACAAAATACTATCCAAAGCACTCTGCAGATTCAATGCAGTCATTTTCAAAATGCTAACAATATTTTTTCCAGAAATAGAAAAATCCATCCTAAAATTCATATGGAATCTGAAGGGATCCTGAATAACAAAACAATCTTGAAAAAGAAGAATAAATTTGGGAGTCTCACATTTCCTAATTCTGAAACTTACTACAAAACTATAGTAATCAAAAGAGTGTGGTACTGGCATAAATACAGACATACAGACCTATGGAACAGAACAGCAAGCCCAGAAATAAACTCTGGCATACTTGGTCAAATGATTTTTGACAAGAATGCCAAGACTATTCAATGGAGAAAAGACGGTCTTTTCAATAAATGGTTTTGGGGAAATTGATATTTACATGTAAAAGAATGAGGTTGGGCTTTTGTTGTATACTATGTACAAAAATTAACTCAAAATGGGTCAAAGACTTAACCATAATACATAAAACTATAAAGAAGTTAGAAGAAAACATAGGAAGGAAACTTCATGCCAACTGAATTTGGCAATGATTTCTTGAATATCACACCAAAAGCACAGGTGACGAAAGAAAAAACAGGTAAATTTTATTTCACCAAAATTGAAAACTTTTGGCTTTTTTTTTTTTAATGTATACTTATTTATTTTGAGGGGGTGAGGGGCAGAGAGAGAGGGAGAGAGAGAATTCCAGGCAGGCTCCATGCTGTCAGCGCAGAGACTGATGCGGGGCTCAAACTCATGAAATGTGAGATCATGACCTGGGCCAAAACCAAGGGTCAGTCACTCAACTGACTGAGCCATCCAGGTGCCTGCAAATTTAAAACTTTTGTGCATCAAAGGGCAATTAACAGAGCAAAAAGGCAACTTACAGAATGGGAGAGTGAATATATTTGCTTATCATATACCTGGTAAGGGACTTCTATCCAGAATAAAGAACTCATACAACTCAACAAAGAAAGACATGTACCCAATTAAAAAATGGGCAAAGGATTTCAATAGACATTCCTCTAAAGAAAATAGAAAAATGGCCAATAAGCCCAAGAAAAGATGCTCAGCATCACTAGTCATTAAAGAAATGCAAATCAAAACCATAATGAGATACCACCTCACATCCATTAGTTTGTTATTAAAAACAAAACAAAAACACAGAAAATAAGTTTTGGCAAGGATGTGGAAAAATTGGAATACTTTATACTGTGGGAATGTAAAATGGTACAGCCACTGTGGAAAACAATATGCAGGTTTCTCAAAAAAGTAAACATAAAATTACCACATAATCCAGCAATTCCATTTTTGGGTATACACACAAAAGAATTAAAAGCAGGAACTCAAACATATCTGTACATCCATGTTCACAGCAGCATTAGTTACAATAGCTAAAAGGTGGAAGCAACTCAAGTGTCCATTAACAAACGAATGAATAAATAGGATATATCATATATACCGACAAATATTATTCAGCCTTAAAAAGGAAGGAAATTCAGATACGAGCTGCAAAATGGATGAACCCTGAAGACATTATGTTAAGTAAAATAAACTAGTCACAAATATATGATTTAACTTATATGAAATATGTAGAGTAGTCAAATTCATAGGGAAAGAAAGCAGAATGGTAGTTGCCAGGCTCTGGGGAAGAGGGAATGAGAGTTCTGTTTAATGGGTATGGAGTTTCAGTTTGAGAAGATGAAAACTTTTTGTAGATGCATGGTGGTGATGGACGGATAACAATGTGAATATACTTAATGCCACTGAACTGTATGTATGCTTAAGAATGGTTAAAATTTCTCCAAAGAAGACATTCAGATGGCCAACAGACACACGAAAAGATGCACAACATCACTCATCATCAGAGAAATGCACACCAAAACCACAATGAGATACCACCTCATACCTGTCAGAATGGCTAAAATCAAAATACAACAAACAACAATGGCGAGGATATGAGAAAAAGGAAGAACCCTCTTGTACTATTGGTGGGAATGCAAACTAGTACAGCCACTGTGAAAAACAGTATGGCGTTTCCTCAGAAAATTAAAAACAGAACTACCCTACGATCCAGTAATTGCACTACTGTATATTTACCCAAAAAATACAAAAGCACTAATTCAAAGGGATACCTGCACCTCTATGTTTATAGCAGCATTATTTACAATAGCCAAACTATGGAAGCAGCCTAAGTGTCCATCAATAGATAAATGGATAAAGAAGATGTGGCATATGAATACAAGAGAATACTATTCAGCCATAGAAAAGAATGAAATCTTGCCATTTCCAACAACATGGACAGAGGTAGAGAGTACAATGCTAAGCAAAATAAGTCAGAGAAAGACAAATACCATACGATCTCACTCATTTTTAGAAGTTATGAAACAAAACAAATGAGCAAAGGGAAAAAAAGGAGAGAAAGAGAGACAAACCAAGAAACAGACTCTTAACTATAGAGAACAAACTGCTGGTTACCAGAGGTGAGGTGGGTGGGGGAATAGGGAGAATAGGGTATGGGGATTAAAAAGTACACTTATGATGAAAATAAAATGATAAAAAAATGTTTAAAATGGTAAATTTTATGTTATATATACTTTGCCACAATTAACAAAAAGAGTTAATGTGGTACAAGAGAGGTTATCCTATGAGTTACACTTTTTTGTTAGAATCTACTCCCCCCATCCCACTCTCATTCCCACACCAGCCATCTCTTTCAGAGCCATGTTGATATCTGGCCATTCAAAATAATATGCTTATTTTGCATGACAGACTCATTTGACAGGTACTATAATATCATATGCCAATGTCTGAGTGGTTGTTTTCTGGGTAACCCAAACACTGATCAATCTCTACAGAGCCTGCCCTTACCCTAACATGCCATGAGTTGTCTCAGTCAAGAGACTTTAAAAAAATTTTTTTTTTCAACGTTTTTTTTTTTTTTATTTTTGGGACAGAGAGAGACAGAGCATGAACGGGGGAGGGGCAGAGAGAGAGGGAGACACAGAATCGGAAACAGGCTCCAGGCTCCGAGCCATCAGCCCAGAGCCCGACGCGGGGCTCGAACTCACGGACCGCGAGATCGTGACCTGGCTGAAGTCGGACGCTTAACCGACTGCGCCACCCAGGCGCCCCAAGAGACTTTTAATAGAGTGCTCAGTCATTGTGTATGAGTAACAGAAGAAAAGGGTGAGTTACTGTCCTAAGTTTGCAGAGAGAACATTAGAACACATAAGCCTGCCCATGAAGTAGGGGTGCCAGATTTAGCAAATAAAAATACAGGACACGTTGTTGTTTATCTGAAATTCAAATTTAACTTGGCATCTTGTATTTTATCTGGCAACATGCTTAAGTACTGAAAGTTGAACAGAAAATAAGTCAAATAATCCACAGTGTTCTGGGCTCACTGAGGTCTTACTTAACAGGGAGCCTAAACAGGAAAAAGTAAAAAAAGCTCCTTAAAATGTATTGGATACCCCTCTCCCCCACTCCAAAAATAAAAAAAAGTATTGGTCTCCAGACACAATGCCTATGCTTAATCCAACTCAGAAGACCCTCCCTGCTTTGGGTTTCTATGGTCCAAGACTTACTTTATAAAGATAGATCAGAGGATGGGAAAAAAAGAAAGTGAAGAAGGATAAATCAAAGCTAGAAATGGGTGAGAACATACTCAGCTTCTTGTTAGGCCTGGCCTCAAAAAGGGACTCAACTTAAAAAAAAATCAGAGGAAACTGGATTGTGACCTGGCTCAACGTGGAAAAGAAACAATGGTGGTAGGTGTCCTGTGGTCATATAGCAGTAGCACAGTTAACAGAATACCTGGGATAGTGGTGGGCTCTCTCTTCCTTCCCCAAAGCCATAACACTGCCTCCTAAGAAACTCGAATCACTATTTTTACTAATACCCTGAGCCTCAGTTACAATAATGCCCATACTGGTCAGGCAAGTACTTCTCGGCTTAACAACTCCTACGGCTTCCCAGCCATTTTTCCATCACTCTGCAAAATCATCTACTTCCTCACAGAACCTAGGTCAAAACTGAGGTCTCTGAACCCTGTCTTACCTTCAGGAATCTCAATCTGTTCAGGTTATCCTCCTCAGAATCAACAAAAACAGGTTTCAGGCTGTTCTTTGAGAATGCCATCTTTAAAAGACTCACATTCTCATCTATTACTACTGACCCTGTTCACATAGTGGTAATCCCTGCCTGACTCTGGCCTACCAAGATATAAATGGCCCATATGGCCTGATCATACTACAGTAGAATTTAGGAATCTTTGATATCTATCACACTAGGCCTGCCTGGGATGTCTACCACTCCGGTCCCTGAGAAGTGTGAGTGGGCGTACCCAGGAGCTAAAGTGTAAAATCAACAAGGTCCTTCATTCCTCAACCTGTCCTGAAGCACCAGCTGACTACACTGAGTCAGCTTTAAAGGCTGTGGCTGGTCTCCAGAATTTTTCCCCAGAGGGAGTAGTTAGTCACTAGGGCAAGAGGAGCAGGTCACTTGGGCAAAGCTCTTTCAAGTTTATCTCGGCACCTCTAAGGTACTTACCAGTAAGAATTTCTGCAGCTCCCAACCCTCATTAATATATAGATATATATATTTGTAAATAGAACATAAGTGGAAAACAGATGATACATAGAAGGTCCTACCAGAATGAAATTAGATTCATGAATTCAAAGACTGAATATATTGTTTTAGGATCCTGATATGAGCATCACAAGTAATCCCCCAGATGCTCTTCCTTTCCACCCCGCCCCCCTTTCATATAACTGGAGACACCTTTCCCACCAAACCACTCTGCCTCACACCCTCTGCATTGGGCTCATTCATTCATTTATACACCCATCAAATATTTAACTGAGCTGATAACATGTGCCAGGCACTGTGCTTGGCGCTGGGGATACAAATGAATACTGTATGGTCTTTGCCTCCAGGATTGTCCCGAGCCAGCCCTGAGCACGGGATCACCGTGCCCTTCACAGCAGGTAAGTGCGGTGTCAGGGGACTGGCAAAACGTCAGGCCAAACATTTTCTAAGGTGAGAGTGACAAAAAGATCCTATTCTAGTTCAGGAAGATGACAACTTGGGAGCCAGGGGGCCAACGGGGCGGAGGGCACCGAGGACCCTCTGGGACTGGCTATGCGGAGGCCCCTACTACAGTCCTGGGGTCGGGTGCTCGGCAGCCAAGATGCGGGTACAACGATGACAGCCGGGCGCGAGTCAGCTGAGGGGTGTCACCGAAGGGACAGTTTGAGGAGACGGTTGGGGTGGATCTGGGGTGACGCCCAAAGGGATGTTTGGTCCTTAGGGCTTGAGGCTTCAGTGGATGGTAGAGGTGAAGTGTCAGGAGGAAGGAAGGTGGGAGTGGACCGGCAGGGTGGGGATGAAGGGCCACGGAGAAGGGCTGAGGGGAAGGGCGGCGGCACAGAGAGCTTTCCCCTAAGGGATTGTTTGGAACGTGAGGGCAATGGGTCTTCCGGACCCCACCAGCCCCCAAAGAAACGTCCCTACCTCGTTTCTCTTCTCAGCGTGATCCTACGGTGCCCGCGGCGTTGGTGGAGGCGGCGGCGCGGCCGGCGGCGTCTCGCGCCCCTCTGGGGTCGCGTTGCAGCTGGGACAGGCCGGCGCCCCCCTCCTCTCCAGACGGGTTGGTAATGTCCGGTTCCCCCTGCAGCCGCGGCGCCGATGGTCCAATCTGGGTTGCCCTCATGCCGCCCCTCCGGACGGCGCGTTGGTTCGGTCCTTCGGGCCCGCCGTGTTTGGCCCACCTCCCCCGCTTCTCGCTGTGATGGGTGCAGCGAGTCACGCGCAGAGCTTTCCCGCGAGGGGAGCGGCGAGGCTTCCGCTGTGGCCCCGCCTTCTGCGGCCCGCGCCCCGCCCCTTCGGGGCGGTGCGCGGCGAGGCGCGTCTCGAGTCTTCGGGAACCCAGGTGACCCTGGGCGTGGGCCTAATGGCTTCGAAGACAGGTGTATCTGTGCACCCACTTTCGCCTAAAGCAGCAAGTCTCAACCCTGACACCTCAGTAGACCCTCTTAGGGAAAACGGAAAATGAAAATAGAGCAACAAAACCAAGGCCTGACCTCGGAGACGGCTGAATCAGGATCATTGGGATGGGAGTGTAGTGGTGGTTGGGAGGCCCCAGGCTGTGATATTTTTAAAAGTACCCCATGCATCACCAGGTTAAGAATCTTGGTAAAACCTGGAACTGACAAAGACTCTCTCCTTTGACCCAAACTTTAGGATCCTTTGAGTTCTCTGCTGGACTAGGCCTGACCTTGGGCTTCCCCATAGAATCCAGTTTGAACAAGAATCTTCCTAAGTCAGTTTAGTTAGAATCCCCCACCTTTGGTATCTGACCACCCTTTGTATCTTACCACCCTGGTCTGCCTTCAAGCAAGAATTCTGTTGAGACCCTTTAGCAAGAATTCCCCTTACCCCTGATGTATCCTCTTAGCAATTGCTATCTATAGTCTGAATGTTTGTGTCTCTCAAATTCACACATGGAAATATCCCCAAAGGTGATGGCTCTAGTAGGCTGGGGCCTTTGAGAAGTGGTTGCATCATGAAGGTGGCACCCACATGAATTGAATGAGTGCTCTTATGGAAGAGGTCTCTCAGAGCTCCCTAGCCCAATCCTCTAGGTGAGGATACAAGGGGAAGTCTGCTGCCCAGAAGGGAGCCCCTCACCCAACCAAGCTGCCACTCTGATCTCTGATTTCTAGCCTCCAGAACTGTGAGAAGTAAATTTGTTGTTTATAAGCTACAGAGTCTGTGGTACTTCACTATAGCTGCCTGCACAGACTAAGACGGTAATTTTCTATCCACTGACCCCTATACTGCTACTTGGCTAGAAAATCCCCCCTCTTCTTGTTGGTGTCTGAGTTGAGCTCAATCTCTCCCCCATTTGCAAAATCCCATTTCAATGGTCCCCATACCTGTTGTGATGCCCTTTAAGGTCTGCCTTACCATCTTTAACAAGTGTCATGAATAACTTTTTTCTTTAAGAGAACTCATGCTCTTCCTGTTCCTCATGGAAGGCAGGATGTATGTGGGACATTGAGGATCCTGTTGTCTCTTTCTTCCTGACAAAGGTCAGTGGGGGATGGGGTGGGAGGTGGGCAGGTGGTCACTCAGCAAATAATATAAATTCCCTGGGTTCCATGCTTCGTGAAAGTTAGAGACTGAGACCATATGCATTCACAGGGTTGTTGGCTCACAGTCAAGGAAGCAGATAAATGTCATGCTGTGTAATGCATCCTCAGGCTTCACAGAAGTGGTGTGAACAGAGTTTTGAAGAATGAATGGTAAAGGGTGTGGGGGAATCAGCATGTCCAAAAGAACACAGGGGCAAAACAACTGATATGCTTAAGGTGTGGGGTATAATGGAGAGAGCACAGCAGATATAGTCAGGGGCTTTTGAAGAGCTTCCTATGATATACTAAAGAGTTGGGACACATTCTGTAAACAGTGGAGAGACACTGAAGGGCTTTATGCAGTGGGAGGAATGACAAATCAAATTTGAATTTCAGAAATAAAATTCTGGGGGGGGTGGTGATGTGGAGAAGGCTAGGACTGCAGGTAGGGAGATTGATGAAAAGTTGTATGCTTGTACAGTTAGGTGGTCCAGGGTAAAGACTTAACCCAAACTAGGCCAAACAGAATCCCTTCCCTGAGAATTTGGAATTGGGGGAGAACTATACCCTTATTCATAGTTGGACTTACAATGGAAACTGAGATCTGTGACCATCTTTTACTTGCCAAATGGCCTGAGTAGCAAAGAAAAGCAGTTTGCTGAGAAGGATCAATCTGTTTCAAAGAAAGGAGCCAAGTGTAGACACAAAGAGGTTCCTGGGGGGCTTTCCAGCAGTGTGTTCCACTTTGGAGGCTCAGCTTGACTTCTACCCTGGGTTCATGGCACATCTTTCTATCATTTCATATAGTCTCATTTTTGTCTTCAATAAGCAAAGATTACTTCCTGTTATTTGTGTTATGAGCTAATTTTTGAAAAGGTAAAATCATGAGTCTTATACAAATATAAAATAAACACATATTAAACTCACTAATTAGTGAGGGAGCTAATTCAAGAAACTAAAACCGGTTCAGATGAGGATTTGACTTTTATAAGTGTGTATTTTCTACCAGACAAAATTATTTTGCATGATCAGGAACAAGAATCATTTGCATTGTCATGGATAGAAACATTTTGCATTATTACCAGTATTCAAACAGATTTGCACTTTCAAATTTCACTTTAGTAAGAGCATGGATATTGAGTTACAGGAAAGTAAAGAAACCAATTGAGACTCTGTAGTAATTATAATGAGAAGTGAGAGGATCTGAATTAGGGCAGTGGCTGAGGAGTTAGATAAAAGGAGACAGATTTAAGAGAGATTTAGAATATAGAATCAATGGGACTTAATGCTTAATTAAATGTGTTGTTGGGGGAGCCTGGGTGGCTCAGTCAGTTGGGCTTCCGACTCTTAATTTCTGCTCAGGTCATGATCCCAGAGTCCTGGGATGGAGCCAGGCATCAAGCTCTGAACTGAGCATGGAGCCTGCTTTTAAGATTCTCTCTCTCTCAGGGGCGCCTGGGTGGCGCAGTCGGTTAAGCGTCCGACTTCAGCCAGGTCACGATCTCGCGGTCCATGTGTTTGAGCCCCGCGTCAGGCTCTGGGCTGATGGCTCGGAGCCTGGAGCCTGTTTCCGATGCTGTGTCTCCCTCTCTCTCTGCCCCTCCCCCGTTCATGCTCTGTTTCTCTCTGTCCCAAAAATAAATAAAAAACGTTGAAAAAAAAATTTAAGATTCTCTCTCTCTCTGTCTCTCCTCTTTCTCCCTCCCTTTGCCCCTCTCCCCCCGCTGGTGCCCACTAAAATAAAAATAAGTAAAAATAAATAAATAAATAAATAAATAAATAAAATAAATGTGTTGTTGGAGGCAGGGCGTAAAGTTGATCAAATGACTATGATGACTCCCAGGGTCCTCCAATGCTGAGTCTTCTCTAAACCTCTGAACATATCTTGGATATGTATCTTGGAGCTAGAATTGCTGGGAAATGTTGGAGCTAAGAATTGTGCCCTTGGGGTACCTGGGTGGCACAGTTGGTTAGGCTTCCAACTCTAGATCTTGGCTCAGGTCATGATCTTGTGGTTCATGAGTTCGAGCCCTGTGTTGTGCTCTGCAACTAATGGTGTGGAGCCTACTTGGGAGCCTGCCTCTCCTTCTCTCTGTCCCTTCCCTTCTTGTGCTCTCTAAACAAACCAACAAACAAACATAAAAATGTTTTTAAAGAATTGCTCCCTTGTTTCTTTTCTCCTGGCAGTGGTAAATAAATTATTTTTCCTGCAAGTTCTTAAAGAAAAGGTGCAGGGTGAGCCAGATGGTTCTGTGACCTTGCCCTGTTCCTAAAAGGCTGTAGATGAGGAAAAAGTCTAAACTTGGCCTATATAAACTGGAATTGCCTTTGGGTTTTTGCTATTGGCAAAAACAGGGAAAAAGATGTCCTTATGGAACCTAACTTCAGAAAGCCCCTCATGGGGTTCTTTCCTGCAATGAAATAATATCTTTGTTTCTCTTTGGACATCTGCTTATGCTTTTGCTACAGGCTAAATATCTTGGCTCACTTACCTTCATAAAGCAAATCATGGCCACTTTAAAATGGAGGCCCCACTGTTCCCGAAACTGTTCTTATCATTGACTTAGTTTCCCACTCACCAGCTACTGTCCTTATCACTGACTTAGTTTCCCAGAGTTCTAATTCTAATTTCTAGAGAGAGAGAAGCTATAGTGAGTTATATATCCACTCTTGGCCAGTTGTGGCTAGGGGTAGTGGAGTCAACTGGCACCAAACATGACCACCCAAATTCACCCCTTCATCAGGGCTGTGTGGGGAGAGTCAGTAATCCATGAATTTAGTATCCTGCTTTTCAGAGAAGCCATTGGGTAAATCCATAGGATCATTTGACAAACCAGTGCTTGCATCTTTGGTAGCCAACCCATGTCGTCCTTTGAGTCTACCTTCAAAATATATCCTCTAATCATCTACTTATTTCTCCACTGCTTCTATCCTCATCTAAGCCACCACCATGCCATGCCTAGACAACTGTAACTGCCTACTAAATAGTCTCCCTGAGGTCACTTTTGCATCCCTATTGTCCAGAGAGTGGCCTGAACAATCTTCCAAACTGGCTTTAAAGCTCTCCACTGTTTCCCATCATATCTATCAAAACACCCTTCTCTTTGTGCATCATGTTTTGTCTACATTGGCGTCTTTTTCCTACACACAAAGATAGCTCCTATCTTAGGGACTTTTAAGTAGCTATTTACTCTGCTTATAATGTCTTTCCACTATATTTTTGCAAGGCTAGATCTTTCTAGTCATTTATGTCTCATTTCACATGCCACTTCTTCAGAAAGGCCTTTTATGACTACTAAATACAAAGTAGCTCCCCCTTCCTTCTCACAGTCCCTCACTATTAAAGTATCTTCATAGCACTTATTATCTGAATGATCTTGTTTACTTTGTTATTGTTTCCCTTAATAGAATGTAAGATCCATGATAGTAGAAACCTTTTTGATTTTTGGCTTTCACTGTATCTCTACGTTGAGAACAGTGCCCAGATCATAGTAGATGCTCAGTAAATACTTGTACATGTGGATGAATGTGATGGAGAGAGAGAGAGAGAGAGAGAGAGAGAGAGAGAGAGAGAGAGAAATTGGAACCTTGAAAGGATGGGATTTGTGGGATAGGGATTACTATAAAACCATTTTATTTTGTCTTCCACTCTTTAAACCCACTCCATAAGACTGTACATTTCATGAATTTTCTGGTCATTTTCAGGTAGCAACCAGTACTTGTCACTGCTTCACTTTAATAATTAAAATAGCCAGACTAATAAAATAATTCTTTAAACTTCAAACTTTAAAATTATGGCTTTTCCTATCTCTCAGCTTGGCCCTACTATCAATGCCCATGTTTAGTGGGAAAAGGGGGTGAGGATTCGTAGATGTCTATCTTTTCTCTCTTGCTTAGCTTGCTAGCACTCTCAGAGTTTGAGCAGGGTGGAAAGAGAAGAGATGAGGAAGGTTCTTACTTGGCTAATACTACCACAAACTAGTTTTAGTGCTTGACAAGTATCTAAAGCTGACTCTCAAGGAGCCCTTTTGTAGGTTTTTCGGTGACACCCTCACTGTTGATTGAGCTATTTCTCCTATACCTAGTTACTTTAATATGGGTGAATTCAGCTCTAGTTGGTCACTTACAACTCCTTTAGAAATCTCTAAGAATTAAAAAAAAAAAACTTTACTTAAGTATACTTTACATACAATAAATTTGCAGATTTTAAGTGTACAGTTTGATGAGTTCTGACAAATATATACACCCAGGTAAATACTTCCAAAATCAAGATATAGAAAATTTACCTCATGTCCCTTCACAGGCAGTCAAACCCTGAGGCAACCTTTTATCTAATTAGAAATATCTAACGATTTGACAACAGATCTATTGCTTCCTTCTGCTGAGATCTCAACTTTTCAGATCCTGTCTCTCTGACAGGATAAAGAAACCCTAATTAGGTCTGTTACATGGCCCATATGTGGTCTATGGGGAGTACCCATGCATCCCTTTGTCCTGAAAAATAATGGGGGCATAGGCCAATCTCACCAGCCACCTCTTTTTGCTCTTCCATAAAAAAGGTAGCTAATTGTTCTCCTGCTTTTTAGATTTTCCAGGTATGAGTTAGGTATGAGTTCTCTGTAACCCCAAACACATTAATCATATCAATTTCTCCAAAGAATTTCCTTAAAACCCTCTCAACTTGAACTGAACTTGGGATGGGACTCAAAGTCCATTAGTAATTCTCTCTAAAGATCCCTTATCAATGTCTAAATTTCTGGCCTTTTTCTCAAGGTGGGTGAGGTGATTAAAAGTTGCACACTTATTTTTCATACCCCCCTTTCCAAGTCTTGCATGATCATCTCACCCTTCAGTTTGGAACGTGGCATGTGCTGTCTTGGATCCTCAGCAGAGACTGAGACTCAAATCTCCCAAGATGCACATAAACCACCAGGAGAGGATGCTGATTCTTCAGGAGC